GGAAGAAGAAAAAGCGAGGGAAAAAAATTTTAACCAGATCATCTACTTTTTATTTCAGAGGAAAGATTTGCATTATTTATTTTATTTATATACATGTACTTCACATTTGTACTTAAAATGCACAGATCTAATAATTTTCTCGTTCCTGCTTTAAATTAGCTGTTATTTTACAATACAAAAAATTATACCAAAAACTGCAGTCCTAAATGTGTGTATGTATAACACCCACAATCCCCGGCAATGAAATAGTTTACAATACTTGCTCATATTTACATATGAATGCAATAAATGCTAAATTATACATATTAACAAACTAAGCTCAAGTCTGAACACAGGTAAGAATTGTAAATAATTACAGAACAAAGAAAAAAAATCCAGAACACAATTAATTCAAGGATCCTAGTGTAAAGAACATTTATTGTGCACAAATTTCAGATTAATATAAAACTCTCTTTTTATTTTCTTTTTGCTTTTTTTAAAAAAAAATAATAATGGACTGACCTATGTTACACTCCGCCACTATTTTTTTTTTTTTTTTTTCCTTCTTTCTTCTGGTGAGGTTTGTGAAGTCAATGAGAAATGTAGAGGAAATGTCTAAAGAACTATAGTACCTGGAAGATGCACAAAAATAGTCCACGTGTAGTGTTAGAATAAAGTAATGAACAGAACAAAACCTGCCGCGATGCAGAAGCAGAAAAAACCAGCGCGTACGCATTCTTGTAGTATTCTAGCATGAGAAAGTCATCTAATTTAAGCAGCTCTCAACAGAAGCAGCACGGGTTTGACCGAAATTGCCAACACCACGTCCGAAAACGAGAAACGCACACCTACCCCTCCCTTGCCCTTGCTCCCGCGCCCCGAGCGCTGGCGCGGGCACCTTCCCGTTTAGGTCGGGCACAACTCCCTCTCCCAACCTGCTCTTGCAGCTCGGCGCGGGAGGCTCCGAAAACCCGACCCCGCTCCCTCCCCTTCCCCTGGAGTATTCCCAAACGCAGATGAAAAGGAAACTGGGGAGAGGAGAGATGCCCGCAGCTTACTGGGAGCGCGACAGACGAGATGAAAAGGCGCTCCCGGCGCGCAGGGTCGGTTCTTTGCCGTCCCTCGGTGCCGGCAAATCCCTGTTTGCAGGGAAAAGGGTTTTCCGGGTGCAGAGACGCAGCCGGTGCTCTGTACCCACCTCGGGGTCCCGCGGAAACGCAGCAGCAGCTGCGAACACGGGGAGCAGTTAAGGATGGAGAACCGGCCTCCTCCCAGCGGCACCCGACTTTCCCTGGGCTACGGGAAACGCCTGAGGTTTTATTTCAGCCTCTTGAGCGAGGGTATTTCATCAAAAGCTCGTTTCAGCTCATTTAGGGCCAAGCAAGCTGAGCTGCCATTTTAAAACCATGCTATAAACCCAGTCACTATGTATTTTGGTAATCGTTTACCGCAGAGAAAATGATGTTTCTGAGCAATATTTAGTATACAAACTCCCTCTAAGGAAGCGTGGATCTGCCAACGGGGGCTGTCACGCTTTCATGGTACCACACCATCAAATTTTGGTAAATTCTATGCTATGACTTTATACTAATCACAGGCATTACCTCATCCTGTATAGCTTTATTTTGCAATTCCAATACAGCGCGTTTTAAGCCAGGGAGAGTGGCAGTAACTCAAAAGTTGCGTCCCATGAATCTTCTTGTGCTCAACATATCGACTCATACCCTGGCAGGGTCTCCTGTCACTCATGCTACGACAGTCCAGAGAAAATTCTGGGCTAAAAAGAATGGAAAACGGTGAAGCAAAAAAATGTACGTTATTTGGAGATCCAATGGCACTGCTGCTTTCTAGAATAAAAGGGTGACAACATTTCTGATTTTTATTAGTGTTTTTTTAAAGGCTACTCTCAAAGAATAAAAATGTTCTGAGGGTTGAGACCTTGAATGCTGAATTCCAGCCAGTTACAAACGCTTGAAAATAGTGATTTTGAATGGAAATCACTGTCACAATCTTAATGGTAGAGGCTTAAACTGCTGACTTAATCCTCCAAGTAATGACTACTTTAAGTACATTTATTACCTGTCTTCAAGTGTTGGTTTTTTCCCCCTTTCAAATGGAAGAGCCGTTATTTTACTTCGCTTATACATTTAAGTGAAATGCATTTGAATACATAAAAGTCAAGTTATGCCTCCCTGTTTTATACTGCAAGATATCACGAATATAATTTGATCTTTCTTTAAAGCTCTGGAAAGTTATCTAATACTCATCATATGAAGAAGTTATTAAGACAAAACTCATACATCATTTAAAATGCATCAAAAATACATTCAATATTTTTTCTGGTTTATATACACTTTAAATCTTTCAATGTTCTGCACGCTACTGTATAGTTTATGTACAAGTGCAAAATCCGTGTGTTATTTTTCATTTATTTACAGATTCTCCCATGAAATAAGGTTGCTCTTCCCTCCCCACCCCCCAAAAGCAATAACCCCCCAAATCCTTCACTTTTGATATTGGCCTGGTGATAAACCACCAGCAGTTCTTCTTCCCCCCATCCACCCCCACCTTTGTCTCCATTTTACCTTTAAGCCGGGACGAAACCGTTTGCAGCAGATATATGTATGAGAGTTCTCTTTTTCCCTCATCAGTATGGAGGTAAGACGCAGAGCAGAGCTACATCCTAAAGGAGCTGTTCCATTTTATTTATATAAATAAGTCTCATTCCTCTATTTACACTTTTTTGGTTCTGTTAGATCTCAAAAGTTTGATCATTTTGGCTCATCTTTCAATATCTGACACCTAACTTGTGGCTACGCTCCCGTGCACGCTCCACCGTAAGCTTTTGAGACCAGACAACCCACCTCTCCGGGGGAAAAAACCCCCAAACCAAACACATTTACGTCTTTTTGTAAATGTAAAAATGTAACACCCCTCCAGGCCTATTGTTCTGAAAGCTGCTGCTGTTCAGGAAAACCTAAGCAACAACTTTAAGTACCTGCTTAAGTGCTGCCCTGAATATGGAGACCTAAGCACAAGAGCTTTCTCAGTTTGGTTGGCAATTTTCCTCCCGAAAAAAGTGCCGGAGAAGCAAGAAGATGACATCTCTGAACGTGACGATGTGCATCACGACTGAAAACATGTAAAGTAATAACAGGGGAGGCATTTTAGTCCAGTATTATTTCTCTAGTTCAGGTTAGCTCTATACACATAGGAAGTTAGAAAATATTTTCAAGGAGATGAATCTGTCTGAGGTAATCTGTGTATAAGTTAAAACTTAAATTGCCTAAAACCCTTCATTCTAAAAGACAAAGCTCTCCCCTTTCCCTCCCATAATTTCTTTCCCCCAGAGGGCATTTAAACTTCTAGTTTAGAAACAGATGCACATATGTGTGCATTTTATATATAAAATGCATTTTTTCCACAATATTTTTTCTGCAGTCCTGTTGTATTTGTTAAATGACACATTAAATCAGAATTCTAATCCACCACGGTCTTTAAACCAGCAGGCTGTCCCCCATCACTGCTGTCCGGACACGCACAGCAATTCACATCTTTATTGCGACGCTGCTGTGCTCCAAAAAGCTTCTTCAAAATACGTGGTTAAAAAAATCCCAAACGACAAAAAGGACTGGCTGATACGTGATCAATCACCAAAACACGCACACAAAAAAAAGATGCAGTTACTTGGGTTTCATTTTGGAAAAGGGTGCTACCTGGCCAGAAGATTCAAGAGCACTTTCCTTCACTCTCCTCGATTTGTTACTTCTCCATTTCATAAATCCTGGATGTCCCCATCAGAAACCAGCAACTCAGCGATCTGAATGAAACCGCACTTAACTGTGATTAAACAACAATTACACGCCTCGTTTGGCACCTTCATGTAACATCTTCCTACCAGCTTCAACATCACAACTTTGCATGGCCCCGGCACTGCACCACATTCCAGAATCAAGGAAGACCTTGGCCACCAGCATGCACAGGCTGGTGGGTTAAGTCCAACCTTGAACCTCAAAACACAATCCCAACCAGTCAGAGTATTTCAGATGGTTTGATACCTCCTCCAAAAGCCAAGCCTTCTCTTTGCTGTTTGCACGCCCCTTCCTTTCACCACCAAGCCACCTTCTTCAACAGCTAAGAGAGTTCAACCCCCATGGGAAATATCAGGAGCTGATCATGTAGAACTCAAACCTGTGACCAAACGAAGCTGCTCTGCTTGCTTTTTATTTAAAGTTCTTTTTTACTTCATCCTCAAATGATCTGGCACCCGGAGTGTTGCTTTTTACACCCTGTAAGGAGACGGAGCAAATTTTACTGCTGAGGAGTGAGGCATCTGAGCCCCAGAACAGGTCAGCTCTGAGCCAGAAGAATGGCAGGAGGGAAGAGGGAGGGAAAGACGCCAAAGAGGCAGAGAAAATCAGAAGAAATATAATGTATCTGACCTGGAACACAAACTGCTTCTATTAAAAGCAGTGGTGAAACCAGGAGTTTTCTGATGAGATACTGAAACTCTACCTTCCCTCCAGATATTTCGATCTGGTTGAGTAGTTTGTTGGTCAGGAAAATGCCATCTTCCCCTGACTGCACGTGATATATTACAAAGAACACAGATTGCCTTAGGTGACTATATGTATGTGTGTAAAACAAAATAATTCTTAACATAAATTACATAAATTCTTAACATAAAATTCTTAACATAAAATAATTACGTTAAGAAGAAATGTGTGTGGCAGTCTCCTCGCTCCCTAGATCTGTTCAAGTCTAGGCACTTGTGTGTGGTGTACTCCAAGCAGGTTAAGACTATGTAAACACAGAGTCCTTCAAAAGCAACATTCAGCTTCTCCAGGTATTGCATGTAGTCTGAGCAACACGCGACATCAACCTTTAAACCGTCCCAGCTTTTGCGTTCTTGGTGTTCTGGACCACGCCGACTACAAAAACGCTGTATCTGGAAGAGGGTTCCACTTAAATAATGAGGGAATAAACATACAATATTAAATGAAAACAAAGGATGAAGATGCTTTGAAGATTAATAGTAGTGTTTATGTGTTGAGAGCTGACACCTGTAAACACTGCATCTTTTTCTTTTTGTACAGTTTGATAAATACATGAACTACAAAGCACTTTCCATGTATAAACCTGAGTGTCATTCATATTGGACTACTGTTCTATTTACACTGACCATGAAAGGCGGCGACCGGATGTTACTGGACCTGCAATAAAATTATTTTACTTTAAACTTGAAGGAAACAAAGGAACAATCTGAAGCCACGTGTCAGTAAAACTTAAGTGGAGCAGTTGTCAAATAAAGCCAACTATCACATAGATGAGAGAAAAAGTTGGGTTCAAGGAAGTTGTTTTTTTCTGAGTGTTTCTAGTCTCTCGTGACACAACTTGGAAATCTTTCTCCTCCTCGGTATTACTTTTCCGTTTTGTTTAAAACCCTATACAGTTTCTGATGTCCATGCATCAAATACAGGTCCCTGGCTGTGCAGGGGGCTGCTGTTTCCGATTTCGTATTGCACCCGATTTCTCTTTGTAGGCGATTGGCATCTGTTGCGAAATGTCCACCAGTGCACTGGCCACCGCAAGACCTGAGGCAACAAAACAAAACAGTCACGGAATGAAGTAGGCGCAGAAACAAATCCTTCCGCCATGGCTGAGTAAAACCCTCCAAGCCACAAAATGAATATCATTTTTTGAGTTCTTAAAAAAGCAAATTAGAAAAGCATTTTAGCTTAAGAGATTAAACTCTAGCAGCTATTCTGAAATAAGCTTTTAAATACTGCATGTTTTATTGAAAGCAACTGCAGCAGAAAAAGCTGGCAATAAAAAATGTGGGTATTAACAGACGTGAAACCCGTAATATTGAAGGGAGGTGCCTTTCTCTGCACCAGTAGATGTGATAGAACAAATCCTGAAAGCACGTGTGCGTGGAGGTTTCACTACGCTTCCCGGACATCCGTCACCTCTGCAACCTTGTCCCAGCAAAGCCACAGATTGGCCATCTGGGATTTAGTTCAATGCAGCTCACAGCCAAACCATCCCATCTCAAATCCAGCCAGTACTCTTTTATTAATCCTCCACTTCACCGTGCTCACTGGAGACACCCCAGTTAAATCACAAACTGCCCAGGAGATACGTCTCGGTGCCCTGCGTGCAGATTTAAGTGACGAGGGGCTGGAAACAAGGAAACCTTAAGCTGGATGGAGAAAACTGCTGTGTCCAGAGCTGCTAAGAGGAGGGCACGGATGCTTTGAAAGGACTTGATGTCTCTTTACGAATGGAGCTGGGAATGGAGGGGATAGGCTGGGAGACAAGTTGCTTTCATAAGTAACTACTGTGAACCTGTCTCTACCAGATCGCTCTTTTTCTCCCAACATAAATTAAAGTGTAATCCCAATATCAAATGTGCATCCATCAACTGACCCAAGAAATTGAATCAAACCTCAGGTAGGGAGCTAGCAGGACGCAAGCGAGCTAGCTTAAAATAACCCGAGCACATCCTCCGCTGCGGTGTGGGTACAGCAATTACTGCGGGCTCAAGTCTGAAACTGTAAGGTGAATCTGTAAGGTTGGGGAAGGAGCACAGAGCTAGTACCAAGCCAGCGGAGACAATGATATTCCTCACCTGACTGTCCTGGTGGTGGTATACCCCCAAGTCCTCGAGGCAATCTCACGAATACCGAGAGAACGGCTGCTTTGTTCCCAAAGCAGGGCTCCAGCGCGATGGGCTTTGGTACAGTCTGCAGCGAGGGGAGGAAGAGAAGAAAACAAATGTTATACAGTGTGTTACACCCTCCCTCTTCCCCCAGTATCGTCTTTTTCAGATCATACAAGCTTCAGGGCAGGAATCATGTTTCTGCGCTTGGAAAACTGCCAGCACATAGCTCGCAAAGCTAAAACCAATGTTAGCAACAATCAAAACCCTAGTCATCACAAAAAACCACATTTACTTAATAAAAAACTAGCTATTAAACAGTCAAGGACAAGGCTTGTATTTATCCCTAAATTCAATAACAAAGGAGCAGCTTATGCTAAACAACAGGATTAAGGTTCTTTTTTTTCCCTTTGAACCCATCAGCAGCGTATCACAACTATCGGCACGTCTGACTGCTGCGATTTGGCAGTTCAACTTCTATTTCCAGAGTTTAACTCCACGTAACACCTTCGCAGCATTAACACAGTAAAGAACATTTACCCTCATACCACTCTCTATTTCACTGCTGTTTGCTTTAAGCTGTGTTCCCCCAATTTTGTCTTTTGTTCCTCTTCTTTCCCAAGGGGTTGTGTTTTCCAGTGGTCTTCTAGACCGGTCTGGACTATGTTCTTAGGTAGCTGGTTGCTCTGGGAGCTGGAAGTGCTTTAGAAAATCTACTAGCTTGTACTGTCCTTTTTTAAACTGAAAAGCAGAGGATTCAGTAGAGCAGAGGACCGGTTTGTGATCCTGGCTCTGGCTCTGGGTTCAGTAACCCATCGCATCCTAAGATGGACTACTCTTAACATGCTTTACTGAAGCCTGTTTACTTTGAATACGAATATTTCACACTTACATTACAAACATGGACATGAAATAAAGTTTTCACATCAAATGTGAATCGATAACTATGAAGATATAATGGGCAGCCAGCTTCCTCCCAGGGGACTGGAGCCCTTGCTGACTCTCAGTGTCTTCGAGCATCACCCTCCCACCATACTCTTGTAAAGATTTTATTTGAACGATCAACGGCTAATTTCAACATGTCATTAGAAAGACAAAATGCAAGTGCAGCCCAGAAACTAAAATATGTTCTTACCTGAGCTGGGCCCCGACCCCACACGCGATTACGCGCGATCAGCATTATTGTGGGATGGCACAACAGTAAGATGAGGATGCAAGCCTACGCCTATGAGTACAGGTACAAGAGAGCGCCTTCTTTTGTTCCACGTAAGCAAAAAAAAAAAAGCTGAGAAACACTATTTTACCTCATATGCTCGGAGCTGAATTCTTGTTTAGTATGGACAAATTCTACCCTGGTATTAATGAAATAATTATTGTTTTTTTCCATTAGACATGAAATTGTACTACTGTACTTAAATGTTCAACAGAAACTCAATACAATGCAAGACACTGAAAAAAAGGAACGGGAGTCAAACAATGCTATTAAATTACTGCTGCTCAATAAAGAAGAAAAAAGAGATGAGAGCAAGCAAAATGAAACTTAAAACTGTTTTCATATCTCATATTTACTGTAATGATCGCAACAACAATTTGTTAGTCTGTGCAAGGTAGATAAATACATATTCTACAGGCTGTAATGATGTAAGCTGCCGTCTGCCTGGTTTATGACTGCAGATTTCTTCATCTTCTCCCCACCCCCAACAAAGGGATCAAACTCAAAATAATGCTTTTCCCACAAAGCAGCCAAGCATAGCCTGGTGCTATATCCCACAGGCGACTCAATTACCAGAGGTAATGGAGAGAGCACAGAGAAGGCAACTGCAGAAATACAGCCCACGGACTTCTGGCGTGCGAGTGGGAGCACGCACCCAGCACAAAGTTTATTTTCTTTTGGAGAGAGCCAAGTACCTTACTTACCCCACTGTTAATAAAACAGTCCTGAAAAAAATCCCAGAGGCTGGAGCACGGTGCTTGGGTGTTACAGCGAGCGCTCACACTCATCCTCAGCACTGAGCAGAGTGAGAAGCAAAGACCGAGCAGAGAAGAGGTAGTGGAGGGAAGAGGAGGATGAAGGAGCAACTGAACAAGCCAAGAAGATGTTATCTTTTCTAACACCTTTTTAATGTTTTTCCTTTTAAGTCCTACCAGATTAATGGCCACAAAAATGCTCCGAGGGCTGGAACAGCTCTGCTGGGAGGACAGGCTGGGAGAGCTGGGGGGGCTCAGCCTGGAGCAGAGAAGGCTCCGGGGAGACCTTCCTGCAGCTGCCGGGGCTGAGAGGGGCTGAGGAGAGAGATGGGGACAGGCTTTTTAGCAGGGCCTGTAGCGATAGGACAAGGGGGGATGATTTTAAACTAAAAGAGGGCAGATCTAGACTAGATCTAAGGAAGGAACTTTTCCCAGTGAGGGTGGTGAACCCCTGGCCCAGGTTGCCCAGAGAGGTGGGAGATGCCCCATCCCTGGGAACATCCCAGGTCAGGCTGGACGGGGCTCTGAGCACCCTGATCCAGTTGGGGATGTCCCCGCTCACTGCAGGGGGGTTGGACTAGATGGCCTTTAAACGTCTTTTCCAACTCAAACCTTTTTATGATTCTACAATTCTAATCAAAATGCTTCTGCAACTCTGTTCCTTCTCCAACATAAACTGTTCAGTGCCGCGCTGCTCTGGTATGCGTTGTAACGTCATGGGGGTGCTCAGCAGCACACTCATCCTGCTCCAGCCGATATGCAGAAACTAGAGGCTGGAAAATACTTCTCACGGTCACCGAACCAGCCCTTCACTTATGCAGGTGACTGCACATAAATATCTTTAAAAGTAGGTACACTTTTAGCTTGTGCCATAACCTCTGAGAGATCTTTCCAGAAGCTCCCTGCTCCTGGGTCTCACCACTCGGACACCAGAAACTTTCTTCTAACCTCAATTCTTTCTCACCTAAATTTATTCATCCATCTGATGTTCTGCTGTGCCTTAACCCTCTCCCTGGGCTTTACCCTACTGTACATCTTGACCTTCGCTGGCTCATCTGAGTGAGCAATGCTCCAGCTTTCTTCTCTGGACACAAACACTCCCCTCTCCAGCTCTCCCAACAGTCCCTCTCTGCACCTCTGCTGCTCTGGTCCATGGGTGACCCAAGAGGTGTTTCAGGCTTTGAGAGGGCCTCTGTCATGGTATGAAAACCACCCTGATTCTCCTGCACATCATAAAAGGGTAAGGAATAGTAGTAGATCATTATACAACTCTCAGTCACAAAGCTAAAGGGACTCTGAGGGTAATTTAGCTCATCTCTCAGCCCCAAGCAGGACTGTTTCTCCTCCTCTGCCCTTTCCAACTAATGAACCCTGAGCGTGCAGCAGAAACTCCGAGTCCATGTGGGCATGATCTCTCTGCTTCCATGGGATTTTAATTTTGTTTCTCAAAGTCACACGCCTTCCTCCTCTCTGCTTTTCTGATCCCACTCTGAACCATGAGTAGCTCCCACGCAGGTGTCACTGGTGCTGAAAGAGCCCCAAAGAGGCAGCCAGTGCTGACCCCCAGTGAGTGAAAGCAGACCCTGGCCACGCCGATACCTAAAATTCCATGTTACTTCACAGGGATGAGTCTGGCCCTCACGCTGCAGTCAATTTTTTAATCTGTCTGATGTACCACAGATAGCTGGGGGCAGAGGACATACCTCTCAGCCTCCCTCCTTCCCTTTTCAACCTGCTCAGAAAAGCTGAGCATTAATAAAAATTTGTTAATATTTCACCACATGGGGAACTTTGTTTCTCTTAACTATGCAAAGCAAGGAAGTACACTTTCTATAACGATGCATCCAAAATTTGTCAGGCAGTTGCAAGCTAATTTGGAAGGAATTAAGCACAAGATGATCTTGCTGCAGCTAATCCTGCTCTTAAATCTAAAAGGGGAAAAAAAAGGGTCTACTGTCCATCAAAATCAGCCGTTTTCCTGAGACAAACTGCAGTTAATAACAGCAAAAACCAGCATAAAGAATCAAGTCCTGCAAATTTATTTTTGACAGCGCCAGTTCAGGCACCTGCTTTTTGAACTGTGACTCATGCCGCATCTCATCTCCAAGCGTGCGCTCGCCAGGCCGAGAGACAAAGCGCAGCCTGATGAAATGACTCACACGCCGAGTGACGGGAATGTTGAATTTGATGCAAGCAAGAGGTCAGCTGGGAGTGAAGGGCACACTGTGCCCTCTGCCAGACAGAGCAACCGGCGGTGGAGCCCGGGGACCATATTCTGCAGACAGGGAGGAAAACACATGGGCAACTCAGCCAGCGACCTAATGGCTGTCTTGGTTGTGGATCTCACCCACAGCTAGCCTTGCTGTGAGCCTGCTCGTGTTTTGCTGTGACCTGTGTAGGTGCCACCACGGTGCAAAACAGCTACAGAGAAGCTGGCTGGCTTCATCAAGTTGAATTTTTGTGTGGAGACCTAAGAAGAGCTCACGTCTCCTTTAGAATCACAGAATAGTTTGGGTTGGAAGGGACCTCTAAAGGCCATCTTGTCCAACCCCCTGCAGTGAGCAGGGACATCTTCCACTATATCAGGTTGCTCAGAGCCCCATCTAACCTGGGGTGTTTCCAGGATGGGGCATCTCCCACCTCTCTGGGCAACCTGGGCCAGGGTTTCATCACCCTCATGGTGAAAAATTTCTTCCTTAGATCTAGTCAGAATCTCCCATCTTCCAGTTTAAAACCATCATCCCTTGTCCTATGGCAACAGGCCCTGCTAAACAGTCTGTCCCCATCTTTCTCCTCAGCCCCTCTCAGCCCCGGCAGCTGCAGGAAGGTCTCCCCGGAGCCTTCTCTGCTCCAGGCTGAGCCCCCCCAGCTCTCCCAGCCTGTCCTCCCAGCAGAGCTGTTCCAGCCCTCGGAGCATTTACTTCCCCACCTCTGCACCATGTCTGTCTCCTGCGTGGTTTCTGAATGCTCTTGTTGCAGATCCAAGCCGGGTTTCTGCAAGAAAGTTTGGAGTGGACTTTGGAACCAGAGATCAGGTCATTCTAAATGCTTGTGCTTCTGTCTGACAGGTGTCTTTTAATGGCCCACTTAAAAAAACAATAAAAAATATGTAGATCT